ACGCCCATTACCACTCTGTGACTTACTCCCATTTTGATCAGATTAAAAAAAAGGAGTTTCAGCAAAAAATAAACAACCGATTTTCGGAATTTAAATTTGGTTTTAATTAATTTTGAAATTCCAAATGCAAAGGGATCTTATCGCCTCTTCCGTATGTGATTGCTATTAGTACTATACACATTATCCGTAAAAGACATTTTTTTAAAAATGAACGCAACACCAAAAACCGAAATCGACTGTTTTGACTTTATCATACATTAAATATTATATGCCATCGGTTAATTTTTATACGCCCACATTGAAATGTGGTCGTATATTGTGGTCGCCGCCGTCCGGCCGGCTAAAGTTAATATCCGATTACTTTAAATTTATACAGTGTTTAAGGTCATGAGACGAAGAAGCCTATTGATTTTCAGCGATTTCCGATAATTACTGTCAGAATTATGGTCCTTGACCACTTCAAAAAATCTTGTGCACGATCTAGAGGCTAAATTCAATATCCGATTGACTTTAAATTTATACACAGTGTTTAAGGTCATGAGTTGAAGAAGCCAATTGATTTTCAGCGATTTCCGATAATTATTGTCAGAGTTATGGCCCTTCATCACTTAAAAAAAATCTTGTGGATGCGCTAGAGGCCAAAGTTAATGTCCGATTGACTTTAAATTTATACACAGTGGTTAAGGTCACTTAAGTAGGCGATTGATTTTCAGCGATATCTGATATTTACTGCCAGAGTTGTGGCCCCTGATCACTTCAAAATATCTTGTGGACGTTCTAGAGGCCAAAGTTAATATCCGATTGACTTTAAATTTATGCGCAGTGTTTAAGGTCATGACACGAAGAAGCCTACAGTATTGATTTTCAGCGATATCTGATATTTACTGCCATTTCCGATAATTACCGTCAGAGTTATTGCCCTTGATCACTTTAAAAAATATTGTGACGCTCTAGAGGCTAAATTCAATATCCGATTGACTTTAAATTTGTAGTGTTTAAGGTAAGAAGTCAATTGATTTTCAGCGATTTCCGATTGAATCCTTTGAAAATCACACCTAACTCTAAAACTAAAGGCAAGAAACGGGCCGGTTTACATTGAAGCACAACTAATTCCTGTCCTGCGTACTCTGTATATAATATACGGTTTTCTAAATATGCCTTGGATGGTAGCCACAAGTCGACAATTTTTGTTTTGTATTTTTCCCATTTTGTTCATAAGGTAAATGTAATTTTTCAGATACCTGATGACATTTATACTTATTGTTTCAATAGATTCTAATAACCCCCTTTGCAGTTAATATGAAAGCTTTCATATCTGCTATGCAGATCTAGTTATTATTGTTATTATTTTTTTTTATTTTGTGTTTTTCCTGCAAATCTTATATCTCAGAATCTAACCGTGGGATCTTTCTGAAACTTTGACCTACTCCCCCAAGAATGGGTGGTGGCTTTGGAATAGGTATGTTTTCAAAACGTTTTACACATCCGAAATCACCGAATTTTACGAACGAATGCATTTGACATACATTGCTGTAACTTTGTGACTTTTTGATCTATTTTAGTAAAAAACAATTCTTTGAGTACCTTGAATCATTTACTTCAAATCTGCTATTTCGGATTTTTGAATTTCAAAAATTCGTCGCTGTGATTTCGAACCGGAAGTAAAAATCAACTTGACAACTTCTTTAATAGTTGCACGATTTTCATGAAATTCAGTATATAAGTAGATCTTACCGATACAACTTGAAAAATGTCATTAGAAATTTTCTGTATTATCTCCCCTTGATGAAATTAAGGATCAAACTTTTAAAAAAAATCAACGAAATATAGGTCCGATTGCCTTGTTATTGTACTTCTTTACTAGTTACGACACTACTGATTCGTACACAAAAAATGGAGTTTGTAGCCCAAACCGGAAGTGCCACCATCTTGAAATGTGAAATATCGCTAAGGCTTTTTTGATATTTTACTTACAGACAAGGTGATTATATTTTCCAAATCCTTGAAGGAAAGCCCATAAAATGTAGGCAGTAGAATTTTGATTTAGGTCAAATGATGGACGCCATTTTGAATTGAAAATGAAAAATAGTGAAAAATCCACATTAATGGGCTTGAAAACATACACAATTAGTCGTGACTTAGAAAATGTGTCTCCTATAATCGAAATTATTACATTTCAGGATAGCCTGGATGATGGTCGAGTGTTTGGTATTTGAATATTTCAAAAATTCAATTTACGGCTTCCATGAGGAGAAAAAAGTGGAATTTCGCCGTGACACCGGCACCGATTGTCCGAAAACCATGAAATTTGGACACAATACGCCCATTACCACCCCGGACTCTGTGCTTTACCCCCATTTTGATACCATTAAAAAAAAAAGAGTTTTAGCAAAAAAACGATTTTCGGAATTTAATATTGGTTTTAACCCTGTAATACCCAGACATGATATAACCTTACATATTATTATAATCCCTATGAAATATTTTAATTATTTACTGCTATAATATGAATTATCACTTATTCCCCGTTAAATAAATATCGGTCACCGGGTGCAGTTGTACAACTTCAAGGGCCCTGGCCTCAAGTGCATGGGACCAACTCTACATTTTCTGAAATGTCAATAAAAGCCCTGGAATGATTTCATTTTAAAAAAATAATCAGAAAGTAAATCTATTTTTATTTATATGCTATTTGTTGCCAGAAAATATATTTTGTTACTAGTTTAATTCAAATTTAAAAATAAACAATATTTTTTCTGAAAATCAATGTCGAAATTTAGTGTATCATATATGATACAATGGGTCTGAGGCATATTTTATTGATATATAGAAATTAATGCAGTGTTCTCATTATGTGTTAAAAGAGTGCCAGTAATGTCTCGAAATTCAGCCATTTGTGCATTTAGTATATCAAGTATATGCGTGTATTACAAATCTCTGATTTGAGTGATTTGTGTACACCCCGCTCCCCCCCCCCCCACTTGTGTCACTATCATGTACATATCAATTCTGCTGCCAACCCACCCACGCGAACATGACTAAATTATGAAACATTGTCTAGTCGTTTGTATGTTACGACAAAACGAGGCCAGTGTGGCTCATTTGTGCAGAACGGAAGGCCTTGCAAGGATTAGTGTCTAGTCGTTCGGATGGTACGAAAGCCCGAGGTCAAAGTGGTTCCCCGTTGGCAGTGGTGAAGTATGGAAGGCCTAGCAAGGATCTGTGTCTAGTCGTTTCGATGCGACGAAAAACGACCGTCCCCTCGTCCATGGTACAAGGATTAGTGCCTAGTCGCTTGGATGGTATGAAAAACAGAGGTCCCCGTTCTCTCCCTTTGTCCGTGGTTCTTGACCGAATGCCCGACAACTAACTTTGCGTGCAGTTTTTTGGGTAGGACGAAAAATTGAAATCCTGTGTGCATATTGGCGTGCACGAAAAATAACCCTTGGAATTTTAAGCACCCACCCCACCCTCGAACAACGCTTAACATAACATTTTGTTTTCACTACCTACATTGTAAAAATTTTTTGATTTCAGTAGTGAAATGACTACAAAAAGGTTACTGACCTATGTATAGCTCCCTTAATTTACACATAAACTGACCTAAAACTGCACTGCACATATAATAAACCAATTCCATTGAAATAAAGGTGAAGTCGTACCGCATAATTATATGATTTGATGAAACCCAACTGCTACCTGAAGTTTCTCGCCTATCGAAGTTATAATATCCGCCGGTGTCATGGCGGCTCGCACCTTATAAGAATCATTGCTTTGAAAATGTAGAACGCATAAAACAAAGAAAAACTGATCGGTAACTAGTTTAGTGGTCCAGTCTTCACTATAATTTGTGATAGAATTACTTATTTAAAAAAAACTGAATGATGTAAAAATAAAAGTGGTTGGAGTGCCCAAGTTTAGATTTGTCATTGATTTCATAAAGGTGTTAGGATACTGTGTGATTCAACATGGCGGCCGAGGGGTTTAATATGATATAAGTACGAAATACATGTACATGTAGTACCAAATGGTTTATATGTATGAGAGTTAAGGTTAGGACTAAATTTCTTGGGGAAGTAGGAGGCGACTAGTATGTGCCTCTCTTTAGTGGACCGATGTAAGATTGCCCATTGTTTTAACTGGACGGGTAGGCCTATTCACCTTCAGTTATGTGTCAATGTCAAATAAGCGGCTTCTTATCAACACGGTCGGCTCTGGGCCGGTTTAATTCTACGTATCTCTCGTAGCTGAGAGAAAAAAGATTTTTTAGCCGTGAGAATATCTTCCGTCAGAGTGGTTGTTGATTCATAGATTTTAATAACCCCTTTTGCAGTTTATATGAAAGCTTTGATATCTGCTATGCAGATCTAGTTATTATTATAATTATTATTATTAATTATTATTATCAACAGCTGTTTAATTAATCTTGTGATCCACCAGCTAGCTCCCCTATAAAATACATAGTTAATATTATTATTATTATAATTATTATTAATTATTATTATTATTATTATCATTATCAATACTATCTTAGTTTATATCCCTTATACTATATGCTATTGTTAACCGGTGTGAAATGGCTAGTCCCAAGTAAATTATAACTAACTCGCTCTCTGATTAGATAAACCCACAGGCCAAATTATATCGGTTCATCCCAAACTCTATTAATCAATCATGCAATTGATTTATTCTGTTAGCAAGTAAAATAATCCAATCAATAACTTGACAGTCACCAACTAGACTGACCTTCTTAAATCACAGTAGACCCTACTACTATGGTAATACATGTACCTCTAAATATCATGAATTAATTAAGCCATAATGATCTACAAATTAAGAAAATTAATTGAGATGGCCGAATGGTTGAACCACATATCCACCTTACTAGCACCTGATCAAACCAAGAGCGCAACAGCCAATGAAAGTTGTTTTTTGTTGTTTTTTTTACCAGCACTTAAGCATACCTCAAAAGACGAGCATCATAACTTACCAATCTTGTCTCCAAGTATTCATAAATTGTCCACAAATAGTCCCTACTCTCTTGTTTTCAGGCCCTTAATCAAAGCTAGTATGCTTAAACCATGACTTATCTGAAACAAATTTACACTGTACGAATACATGAATGAACTATGACTCCTTTGTATAATATGCATACTGGTATTTCCTGTACCCAGGCCAAATTAGATTGCCTGTTTTGAATCACATATTGTATTATCCATTATGGTATAACCTCTAAGTATCGTTATTTAATTAAGCCATAATAATCTTTAGTTAAAACATAATAATTGTGATCCACCTTACTAGCATCTGCTCATATCCAAAAGCACAACAGCTAATGCAAGCTTTTATAGGAATTAGCAATCTTGTATATCCGATTTAAAGCCACTAAGTATGATTCATGATTCACCCCAAAAGAAGAGCATCATAATTTTACCTAAACAGTCTCTCAGTAAGGTGTAAACAATGGTTCTACACCATCATCTTCATCCCTCCATTCAAAGATACTATGTTCTAACCTTGATTTATCTGAAACCAAGTTAAACTGCGTGAATTTATGAAAGAAATATGGCTTCCCTGTATAATTTCTCTATACAAGCATTAACAAGACCTAATCAGCTCGCACATTTCAAATCAGGTTCAACTTCCTTTTATGGTATAACCTTTAAGTATTGTTATTTAACTAAGCCATAATAATCTTTAGATAAAGCACATTAATTGTGATGACTGTAATACATCAACCTTCATATCCACCCTACTACCATCTGATCAAATCCAACAGGTCGACAGCTAATGCAAGCTTTTAAAAGGAACAGGCAAATTCACTTATCCCTAAAAAGGAGCACCATACCCTACCAAACGTGTCTCCAAGTAAGGTGTTATCATGACTTTCTATGGGACACAGATAATCAATCGGCTAACGATAAAACAAATTCTTCTGTACTTTATTGCAGAACCAATTTTACCGTGAAAACTACAATAAAACATAAAACAACCTCTAAGTACATGTAAACAATGTAAACAAACATGGAGACAAAGCATAAGTTAACTATGATAAACAAACCAAGTTGCCATTATGTAACAGTTGACTTAATAATTTAACAGTATTTCTTGTGGCAAGACCAGACGACATGACCAAATTGAGACGACCAACTTGTGAAATACAACTTGATTTACAATTACTTTCTTTTAAAAGCTATCTATCTGATTTAAATTGTTAAACATATAATTATATTGAACACTTACACCATGCAGCTCTTATCATATCTTATCATAGTTTAAAACTAATGTGTTGTAATAACAACACATACTGAAACAGTAAAACAGTCAAAACATGTGTTTTTCAAAAGATGGAGTCCACAAAACATTCTCTCCAAGGGAGATTACTCCAACCTACAATTTCATCATACTAGGATTAAGACCAGTAATTTTCGTCATATGCACTACACTTCCCGCCTGACAATGATAATTTGTCACTTATAAAACTTACATAAAACATTTACATTTGACAAATAAAACAACATATAATATTAACAGTTAATATAAAAGCTTTACTAGCTTACACTGAAAATGTTCAAATAGTCTTAATTTGATATTCAGTAGATTTATATTAAAACAGTTACTGTTCACTAACCGAAACTATCAATTCACTAATGTGACGAGTGCATACCGCGGTTTTACCATCTTTGCATACGCGAACCTGTACTTTTCGCACAATGTCATCGTTACTCTTTAATGCATTCACGACTATACCCATAGGCCATATGTTACAATGGATATCCTTTTCTCTGAGTAGAACAATATCATTCTCCATAATATTTGGTTTGGATTCTAACCACTTTCGTCTTTGCTGAAGACAACACAAAAATTCCCCTTTCCACCTTGTCCAAAACAAATCTGATAGAAACTGAACTCTCTTCCATTGTGCTTTAAACATGTCTTTGGTATTGAATTCACCTATGTCAAACGATGGACATGAACCGGATTTTTGTGTTAGTAACATGTTTGGTGAAAGAATGAACGGTTGTTCGGAATCACAACTAACTGGTACTAATGGTCTGGAGTTAACTACAGCAACTTCAGCAAAGAATGTAACTAATACTTCATGTGTAATTTCTCGATTACCATGTTCCAGCATAATACCATTTAAAACTTTTCTCACAATTTCTATCATACGTTCCCATACGCCACCCATATGTGACGCATGGGGCGGATTGAATAACCACTTACAGCCTCTGTTGAAAAGAAAGTTGCTTACTTTCTGGTCTTCGACATTACACAACATCGATTTTTAAAGGATCTGTTACAGCCCATGGACCAAACGTGTCTACACCCACTGAGCTGAATGGTGGACCTGGGATCAATCGATCGGCTGGCAAATCGGCCATTCTTTGTACCTCTAACTTGCCACGTAACTTTTTGCAAGTGACACACTTGTACAATAAAAAGCGAATAATTTTCTTGCCTCAAATTATCCAAAAACCTGCGTCTCTTACGGCTCCTTCTGTGAAGTGTCTACCTTGATGTTTTGTATTTTCATGATATTGCAAAACCAATAATTTGGCCACATGACTCTTTCCTGGAAGAATTATCGGATTTTTCTGACTAATGTTCATGTCCGAATTATTTAGACGACCACCTACGCGTAAAAGTCCGTTGTCATCTAAATATGGATTTAAATCCCGAATACTGCTTTTCTTGTTAACATGTTTCTTGTTCTGTCGACACTGTACCTCACTTGCAAAATGTTCATTTTGTACAGTTTTGAATACAAAAATCTCGGTGTTCTTGTATTCATCAAGTTTATGATTAATAGTAGAAGTTATTTTAGATCTACCATTCTTAAAGTGTTTCACAAATGTTCGCAATACCATAATAGCACAAACTAGTCTCTTCAATGAAGAGAACTTTGAGAATCGATCTGAACCTAAACAGTCTTGTTCTTGAACTTGAGTCTTATTGGTTGTAACTTGAATCAGAGGAAATATTTCATTGTCGCGAGAACCAAAGTATTCGCGATTCTTGAGCTTTAGCGATTGGTCCATTTAACCATAGACTTTCCTGTAGATCAGTGGGATTTACGAAACGTGTGCCTTGATCTGCAGGATTTAAGTTAGTGGGTATGTAGTTCCACTGTTGTGGTAAGGAAACATGTCTAAAACGTTCCACCCAGTTAGAAACATAGACATAGAATCTACGTTTTTTTTATTGTTAATGTAGCCTAAAACCACTCTACTGTCACTGAAATATGTGAATCCACTTAACGGTATCGCTAACTCTTCTGAAATGATCTTAGCTATATGGGTTGCTAACAAGGCAGCACATAACTCGAGACGAGGCACAGTGTTACAATTTAGAGGCGCGACCATACTTTTTCCAAGAATGAATCCATGATGTTCCTTTTTACTCTTATCAATGCCCTTGATATATGCCACTGCCGCAATAGCTGACTCGGATGCATCACAATACACCAACACCTGTTTTTTCTTGAAGAGAATTCAGACCATCAGCACCATAGCATCTTGGAATACTGACATCATTCAGTGCATACAACGAATCCCTCCAGTTATTCCATTCACCGAGAACGTCTGGTGACAACTGTTCATCCCAGTCGGGGTTGTTCCTTAACAAGTTTCTGAGAATAATCTTTCCCTTGACAGCAATCCGAGTGGATCATATAATCCATTTATGATGGATAGAATACTACGTCTTGTAGACGGTTTATCTTGTAATGAAACCTTGTACACAAATTTGTCACAGTTCATCCCAGTCGGGGTTGTTCCTTAACAAGTTTCTGAGAATAATCTTTCCCTTGACAGCAATCCGAGTGGATCATATAATCCATTTATGATGGATAGAATACTACGTCTTGTAGACGGTTTATCTTGTAATGAAACCTTGTACACAAATTTGTCACAGTTCAAATCCCAGACCAGTCCTAAACTAATCTTCACTTAGATCCATGTCAATTAAATCTTTCGCCAAGTCCTTGGAATCAAATTTAGTTAAGAATTCCTTGCTGTTCGAAGCGAACTTGTGAAGTCGAATGTTTCCGTTACACCATAAAGTTTCCTTACTTTTATTCAGAACCGCAGAAGCTTCGGCTTCGCTTGAAAAGGACGCAAGTCCGTCATCTACGTAAAAGTTATTTGAAACAAAGTTTTTTACTTCAGGATCTGCGTTTTCAACAGCCTTCCGTAACTCGTAGTTTGCAACTGAGGCTGAAGGTCGATTTCCGAATACATGAACACACATTTGATATTCTATAAGTTCATTACCAAAGATATTGTCCTTGTACCATAAAAATCGTAAATATCTTCGGTGCTCTGGTATCGCATAGAAACAATAGAACATATGCTCGATATCAGCTGAAACAGCAATTTTTTCCTGTCTAAATCGTAGTAAAACGCCGATTAGGTTATTTGTAAGATCAGGGCCTGACACCATAACTTCGTTAAAAGAAATGTTATGAAAACTTGCTGATGAGTCGAATAATCCTCTTATCTTATCTGGCTTTTTGGAATGATATACGCCGAAGAGTGGTAGAAACCAACACTCCTCATTTTCTTGTATAGGTGGCGCTACTTCTGCATGACCTTTATTTAAAATACCTGTCATGAAGGTCATCATATGGTCGCGTTTGATAATATCCCTGTGGAGATTCTTATCTAATATTTTAGCTCTCTTCTCGGCTTGTACCTTGTTGTTCGGAAGTCGCGATCTTAAAGTCTTAAAGGGTAATGGTGCTGACCATTGGCCTCGAGAGTTCATTTCAAATTGTTTGTCCATTAATTTTAGGAACGTCCTGTCTTCGTGTGAAAGTCCTACCTTGTCATCATCTGGAGTTTGATCAAAAATTGAAGAATCTTCAATCGTACACGTCACTGACTGTTTGCATGGGTCTAGTAAGGTGGGTCTACCATTACTAAGGATATTTATCTTGTTCACTTTAATGTCTGTTGACGCATGTACCTCTCCAACACATACTTCACCAATGATCACCCACCCCATTGGAAGGCGCTGAGCAAATGGAGCATTTTCACTGCCTATACGTTGATCTGACACCTGATGTACGGCGGGCAAGTCTCTACCGATAAGCAAAGATATGTCACAGCCATCTTGTATTGGTGGAATGAAACATTCCAGTTCACATAAATGTGCATACTGTTTAACTAAATCTTGGCTCGCTATCTCTTCTTTGGAATTTGGAATATTACTGCATTCGATCACAGAAGGTAAATCAAATGTATACGAGCCATCAACAGACTGAATAATCAGCCCATCAGCTTGTCTACCAGTTGTCAAAACATTACCCACACGTGAAGACAATTTATAGTTAATTATTTTTGAATCACATTCATGGAATTGATTCAAGAGTTCTGGTGTTGCCAGGGTTCTATTACTATGGTCATCAAGTATGGCATATACAAGTTTGTGGTGATTTGGGTCTTTACCGCTGAAAACTTTCGCTAAAACAAAATTTGCGCAAGATCGTCCGACCGAGTTATCTTTGCATACTTGAGTACATTTAGTAGATACTGTTTCGGTATGCTCCCCGCCATGCTTGACTGTAGGTTTATCAAAATGGTTACTGTCAGTTGGTACATTATATTTAGGTAAGTAGTCATAATGCATGCCTGTGGAATGTCTGTCACTGCCACAATCATTACACTGGATAGCAACAGGGCACTTGTAACCCCTGTGCTCCTTTGAATCAATACACCTGAAACATATATCATTATCTTTGACAATCTTCCTTCTATCTTCAATTGATTTGTCCTTAAAGGCTACACACGTATTTAAAGAGTGGTGGGCATTATGCAATGGACACCTAAACTGAGACCGTGGAATATGCCTATCAGTCTTTGGTTCTAAAACAGCTGTTTTATGTACAGCTACCTTGAAAGATGGTTTATGATACTCTTTACGGGGAAGACAA